TACTACTACTACTACTACTACCCTACTCCTACGACTACTTCTTCATTACGATTACCTGTTAAAAGATGCGAGCGCCGATGCATGTTTGTGAACACCAACGCACGCGTGTGAACACCAAACCATGCCTGTGAACACCGCGCCATACCCATACGGGACAAGGCACCCCGCCCGCCCACGTTCGGTCCTGGTGCGGGGTCGGGAGGGAGTGGCGACACCCCGTCACGGACAATACAGGTCAACCGAATATAAAATCACGCGGGACGTACCCAAATCCTTGCCCGCGCAGCTCGAACATTTCGATGAACGCTCCATTTAAAAGCGCGCATCGCCAAATATGCACGATTTGCGCTGCCCTCATCTCCGCTGTGTCTCCCAGGAACCCAGGAAAGTGGTGACAGTTGCGCAGTTCGCAGACACCCAGGGAGCAGCGAGATCCTGCCTGGGTGCGCGTGGCCCTCGACTCCGCTGGACTTCCCAAGAGCCAACGAAACAAGCGACAATTGTTCAGTTCGCAGCCACCCAGGGAACCGCCAAGTCCCGTCTGGGTCCGCGTGGTTCGGGTTCTGCTGGACCTCCCAGGAACCCACGAAAGCAGTGACAGTTGCAAAGTTCACATCATACCAGGGAGCAGCAAAGTCTCGTCTGGGTCCGCGTGGCTACCGATTCCGCTTGACATCCCAGGAGCCCACGAACGTGACAATTGCGCAATTCGGAGCCCCCCAGGGAGCAACAAGGTCCCGTCTGGGTCCGAATGGCCGTCGACTCCGCTGGTCCTCCCAGGAGCCCACGAAAGTGGTGGCGACTGCGCAGTTGGCAACGACCCCGGGAACAGCGAAGTCCTGTCGGGGTCTTCGCGTGCCTTTACTCAGCTGGTCCTCTCAGGAGCCCGTGAAAGTGGCGACGGCGCAGGTTGGCAGCTGCCCAGGGAGCAGCAAAGTCTCGTCTGGCTCCGCGTGTACCTCCGAGGAGCCCACGAGAGTGACGACGGTGGCGCAATCCGCAGCCACCCAGGGGGCAACGAGTCCCGCCCAGGTCCGCGCGCGCCTCCACTCAGCTGGTCTTCCCAGTAGCCCACGAACATGGCGACGCTTGCGCAATTCGAAGCCACCCAGGGAACGCGAGGACCGCCTACGCGTCCGCGAAGATGGCGACAAATGCGCAGTGCGCAGACACTCAGGGAGCCGCGAGGTCCCGCACGGGTCCGCGCGTGCCTCCACCCCGCTGAACCTCCCAGGAGCCCGCGAAAGTGGCGACAGCTGCGCAGTCAACAGCCCCCCAGGGAGCCGCGAGGTCCTGTCTCCTCCTCCTCCTCCTCCTCCTCCTCCTCCTCCTTTCCTTCTCCCCCTCCTCCTTCTCCCCCTCCCCCTCCCCCTCCCCCTCCTCCTCCTCCTCCTCCTCCTCCTCCTCCTCCTCCTCCTCCTCCTCCTCCTCCTCTGGGCCCCCGTGTGCCTCCACTCCGCTGGACCTCCCGGGAGCCTACGAACGCGGCGACAGCTGCTCCGGAGGAGGAGCGCGGGGGCAGCGCAGGAGGGGCGCGGCCGGGAGGAGCGCAGGGGCAGCGCGGGAGGGGGCGGGGAGGAACAGGGAGACGGGAGAGGTCGCGCAAGCAACGCTCCATGTGACCAGCCTCGAACTTATCCCTATCCCTAAGATTGACACGCCAAAAGGCGGTTAGGGAGCGCCCTCAAAAAATAAGGGAATCCCTAAGATTGGCATCGTGATGAGGAGATGCCCAGCATAGGGATAGGGATATGCTCCAGGCTGGTAACCATGCAAACCGAGAACCCAACACAGGAGGGTTGGGAACCACGCCTCACTGCCAAGTCACCTCCCGCCGTGAGCCTTCCACGACACGAGAGCATGTCTGGGCGAGACCCGCTGGCTGCATGGCGAGAAGGAGCTGGCCAGCGCAGGCCGCACCTCCCAGGGCCGGCCCGCGATGGGCGAAGCAGCGCCGGCGCCCGCCGCAGCGCCAGCGCCTGCTGCCTCTCGCGCGGGTCGCCCAGGGGGTGTGCCTCCTCTCCCTCGCCGCCCGCGCCCTCGTGTCCGTCCACGCCGCTGCCGCGTGCTTCTGCATATTCGGATGGCCTGGTCTCTTTCTACACTGCTGATTCACCCATCGCAGCGACCACGACTCACGGCCTTTGGCTCCACACGGTGCAGGCAAGACGCGCCAAGCAAACAATAACGTGAGGACGGAGCGGCAGTGGGCGAATCAACCAGCGAGACGTTGGTTTGTGCACGAACTTGTGGCAAAAAGCGAGCCACCGGCACCTCAAGGCGCCTTGCCTGTCTCACCGCGTCGCTGCCCGCATCGAAAGAGTGTCGAAACAATGTCGGACGAGTGTCTCCCAGGGCACGACACGCGAAAACTCTCCATTCTCTGCACTTCCCTGGCGCTCGAAATTCTTTCTGGCCATCGAGGCTACACTTGCCGTCGCTCGGACGTCCATTTCCCGTGAATGCTTCGATGTCGTGCGTGTTTTTTTTGGCTCGATGGCCCAGGATGGTCCTCGATGGTTCTCGCCGAGAAAAAAATCACACGTCCGAGCGATGCCAAGCACAGCAGGTTGGAGCATCACAAGCCTCGCTCCGCGGAGCGGCCCGGCAGCCAGGGAGCCCCTCCCCCGAGCCCGGGGGGTCCTCCCCTCCGCCCCGCGTGCGTGATTCCTGCGACGCCTCCGCGGCCCGAGCGCCGGGGCCGCCGCAGGGGCCCGAGGGCGGCCCAGGAGGGACCTCCAACTCGCCATCGCTCGGACGTCCATTTCCTGCGTTTCTTGTCCGGTTTCGTGCGTGGGTTTTTCGCCGCATGATCGAGGATGCTCCTCGATGGTCCTCGCAGAAGGAAACATGCACACGCCCGAGCGATGCCAAGTCCAAGGCCCGCGTCCCTCCGACGAGCGCCGCTGGATCTCTCTGCCCCTGCTGCTGCCCCCGCACCTCTGGGAGGCCAGTGGAAGCGAGGCAAAGATAAGGAGCAGTGGCCTCGGAGGCCAGGAGCTTACCCATCGGTCGGAAGACGCAGGAGGCCGAAGCAACAAGTAAGACGGCGCTGGAAGAGAAACTAGAACCTGCGACTCCAGAGATACCTGATTTCAACGACCGATGGGTATCCACTTCCCCCGTCGGGCTCCTCGTGGGGTCGGGGCGCGAGCGGGGGCCTGGGCCGCACGTCGGTCGCCCATCCCCGTCGCCTGCAGGGCCCCGCTGCCCGTCCAGCCGGCGTCCGACGTCGCCAGTCCTGCTCGCGAGCTGCGCGGCTCCCCAGGAGGTCTGGGCCCCCGTCCCCAGGACCCGCCCTTCCTCCCGAGTTTCGGGCGGGTGGTCACGGGGGGGGGGGGGCGACCCAAATGCGGAGTGACGAAGAGGGCCCCACAGGGGCACTTGAGGGCCCCTTTGGGGCACCTTCTGGCTCTCAAGGGGGCCCCAAAGGGCCCCCCTTCAGGGTCCTTCTCTTCACCCCCCATTTGAGTCGCCCCCCATTACCGCCCGCCCGAGAATTGCTTCCTGACTGCCCCAGAGCCCGGTGAGGCGCCTGTGAGGCCGAACGCCTCGAGATCCGACGTTGCGGCAAAATTGCAACATCGCCGAGAATCACGACCAAAGCCGCATCGACCCGTGAGGGCCAGAAAAGACACAACGCTGCTGAGTGGAAACATGCGACGCCCAAATCTCAGGGAATGACCAACAACACCCCGCCGTGATCTTCCCACCACGCGAGGAGGTCTGCGCCTGGCAGGGCTTCGGCTTGCGCACAGACGGCCCCGTCAGGCAGTCCCGGCTGGCCTCAGCATGCCCCGCCGAGCAGCCCCAGCGGCCTCCACAGGCCCCCCCGAAAAGTCTGAGGCGGTCTCAACACCTCAACCTAAAGGGGCCCCAGAACACACAAATAAATATACACAATTAAACATATACCCCACCTTTTTCCCATAATTTCTGGGTGTTTATCTTCCCCCCACTTCCCATATTTTCCCATACTTTCTTGGGGATAGGCCATTAGTTGTGTCTGTGTTTTTTCCCCTCCTGACAACCCTCTGGGGCACGGAGCGCGCCAAGGGGGCGCCAGGGTGGAGGCGGCGCTGCAGGGTGCTGAGGCCGCGCAGGGGACTGCTCGGAAGGCCCGTTGAGGCGAGCTGGGACTGCTCTTAAGTCGGGCGTGCCCCATACAGGGGGATTTTCGACGAGAGAACAAAAATTTGGTTCGCTCGTCGAAAATCCCCAAAATACAAAGAATACTCCAAAGATGCTCCAAAATATTCAAAAAATAATACCCAGACTATTTTTTAACTATTTTTGAATATTCCCCCTGGACAGGGACAGGCCCGACTTAAGACTACTCAGGGGTCCCGTCGAGGCCAACCGGGGCTGGGGAGCTGCCTGCGCACCCGTATCCTTCCCAACCCTCCCGCCGTGATTCTCCCACAACGCGACGCGAGGATGTCCGAGCAGATGGGGTCGGAGGATCGCACCGCATCGCCGAGGCATTTGCGACGCATCTACAACGACGGCGATGCGTCGGCGACGCCAGCGCGGAGCAAATCAAGCTCTACATCGAGCCGCATCGCCGAGGCAGCGGAGACGCGGCGCAAACCTCCGACCCCACCGACTCGGACTCCACTGAGGAAACCAAAAATTATGGACACCACTATTCCCCAGACCTCTCCTGGGGTGCGTTCGGACCAGAATCTCGAGGCGACTCCAGCGGTGGCCACGAGGGCCTCCCAGAGAGGGAAAACAAGAGAAGGGTATAGCAGTACGGGTACCTCTTCCTCCTCTGTCCAGCTTGGGAGCCTGATTTTCTCAATATAGAAGATTATTGCGCTCCGCGCGGATCTCTTGGATCCGGCGTCGGAAGCGCCGCCAGAGGGGGCCCAGCGCGGACCCAAGAAAATCCGCGCGGAGCGCCACAAGTTTATGCTTACGGCGCCCCTTCTTCGTCGGCACGACGCGAGGCTGCCTGGGCCACTCGTCGTGGCAGGCCGGCGCCGCCGCTGCCGCATCGCAGAGGGCGGGCGCGGCAGCGGCAGCGACAGAGCGGGCCGCGCGCCTGCGCGGCCGCGCCCGCGGCTCTGGTGGCGCCAGCGGCGCCGTCGTCGCCCGGCGGCCGCGGCTGCGGCGGCTTCGCGATGGGGGCGGGTCGGCGCTGGTCGGAGGCGGCGCTGGGTGCGAGTGGCCGCTCTGGTCGGGGGCGCGCGAGCATGGATTGGCGATCCATGGACTTGGCGCGCGGTCACCAAATCCATGGATCTGGGGGGCAACGATAGGGGGGGGACTGGCAAAGGGGGGATGCATCGACCTGGAATCGGCGATACATCGATGATAGATCGGCGGTAGGCCCCCGATGGTGAATCCGCACTTTCCTGGGCAGGTTGGGGCTATCGGGCCCCTATCGGCGATCAGTGGGCGACTGGGGGTCGATGCATCCCCCCCATGCCTATCCCCCCCTATCGTTGTCCCTGAGGATCGGGGGATGTGCCCTCCCCAAAATACTGCCGGTGCCGCCTCGCTCGGCGGCGGAGATCCGCGATTTTCCATAGGAACGGGGTCCGTTGATCCATGATTGCGATCGCCTGATCTTGGGCGATCGTGGGGTCCGCTCGGGCCGTCCTGGGGCTCTCGTGGGCCGTCTCGGTGCCCTCTTTGCAACCTGGGGGTCCGTTGTGGGGCCACCGTTGGGCCGTCTCGGGGGCCGTCGGTGGGCCGTCTGAGGCGCCGTTTTGGGTCCATGCGGAGGCCCGCTTGGGCCAACTCGGCGCTGTCTCGTCCCCCCGGAATCCCGTCGTCGCAATCCCACCAGCCCTCTGGGCGTCGGTGGTTTAGAGCGTTTCCTCTTCCACCCCTCCTTTTTCCCCTTTCGGGGAGGGGTTTATCATTGTTCCCTATTAATAAACACCCCCTCCCCCAGGCGACTGGGGGCCAACCAGGGTCCATGCCGACACCCCCCCACCATCCCTGCTAAAAAACAATACAAAACACACTCTGCCTCCAAATTCGGAACATGCGCAGCCAACCCGATGCGGCCCCCCACCCACCATCCCTGTCGAAAAACAATACACTTGGCGGCGGCGGCGGCGGCTGCGGCGGTTGCGGCGGCGGTGGCGGCGGCTGCGGCGGCTGCTGCGGCGGCGGCGCCGGCGGCGGCGGGGGCGGGGGCGGCGGCGGCGGCGGCGGCGGTGGCGGCAGCGGCAGCGGCTGCGGCGGCGGTTTGGCAGCGGGGGGGGCGGCGACGGCGGCGGCGGCGGCTGCGGCGGCTTCGCGATGGGGGCGGGTCGGCGCTGGTCGGAGGCGGCGCTGGGTGCGAGTGGCCGCTCTGGTCGGGGGCGCGCGAGCATGGATTGGCGATCCATGGACTTGGCGCGCGGTCGCCAAATCCATGGATCTGGGGGGCAACGCTATGGGGGGGCACTGGCAAAGGGGGGATGCATCGACCTGGAATCGGCGATACATCGATGATAGATCGGCGGTAGGCCCCCGATGGTGAATCCGCACTTTCCTGGGCAGGTTGGGGCTATCGGGCCCCTATCGGCGATCAGTGGGCGACTGGGGGTCGATGCATCCCCCCCATGCCTATCCCCCCCTATCGTTGTCCCTGAGGATCGGGGGATGTGCCCTCCCCAAAATACTGCCGGTGCCGCCTCGCTCGGCGGCGGAGATCCGCGATTTTCCATAGGAACGGGGTCCGTCGCTAATCCACGCCCCCTTGATCCATGATTGCGATCGCGCAGCAGGGGGCGGCGGCGACGGCGGCGGCGGCGGCTGCGGCGGCTGCGGCGGCTGCGGCGGCGGCGGCGGCGGCGGCGGCGGCGGCGGCGGCTGCGGCGGCTGCGGCGGCGGCGGTAGCGGTGGCGGCAGTGGCTGCGGCGGCGGCGGCGGTTTGGCAGCGGGGGGCGGCGGCGGCGGCGGCGGCGGCGGCGGCGGCGGCGGCGGAGGCGGCGGCGGCGGCGGCGGCGGCGCCAGATTGGCCCCCAGTAGCTGTCTATCCCAAGACGACTGCTGAATATGCTCAGGCTCGGGCCAAACTCGGGTGTTACGTTTGTGTTGGGAGGGCGGGTGGGAGTGAGCGAGACGGCTTGCGGACGGGGAGGGGGTAACTTGACCCCTCCCCCTACCCCCTCCCCTGGACCTGGACGGGGGGGTCGCGAGTCGTCGGAGCGTCCAAAACGGTCCCGGCGAGGAAGCCGAAATTATTAGTTTTACGAAGGTTTCGGCCGCATTTTGGCCTCTTGGGGGGGGCTGTAATTAGTATCCCGCCTCCCGTGATCGATCTCACCCAAGATGACCCAAAGATGGCCCCCAAGGCTCCCAAGGGTGCCCCAACAGGGCCCCAAGAGTTGGCAAGGAAGACCCATGAGGCCCCCAGGATGCCCCCAAGAGGCTCCCAAGAGACCACCAAGAGGCCCCAAGAGAATCCCAGAGGCAATTTTCCCGTCGGGAGTGTTTCGCACAATTTCTTCGGGCCCCGGGGCCCTGACAAATCGATCTGGCCTGAACTCAGGTCGTCGGATCCCAAATTTCAGGGAATCGCATTGGGGGGGGGCAATACATGCACCCAGGGGCGCTTGTGGTACTAATCTGGAGACGCACTAACCGAAGCCAGCACACCACCACCAGCAGTTCGAGGGGAGGAGGAGGAGGAGGAGGAGGAGGAGGAGGAGGAGGAGGAGGAGGAGGAGGAAAAGGAGGAGGAAGAGGAGGAGGAGGAGGAGGGGGAGGACCCCCTCCTCCTCCAACTTCCAGGGAGGTTTAAAAAAAAAACAAGGAATTTCTAAAACAGGGATGTTTAAATTCTAGGTTGTCCCGTAGAGATTGCAGCCCCGAAGCAAGGCAGACAAACAACTGGAAATTAGCCGGGCGAAAGACGCAACCATATGCAGTTGTGAATTCCGCAAGTGTGAATATTTGTTTCGGTGGCGCTCCTAATGGGACCGCACAGCGCTGTACTGGGTGGGTGAAGCGCAGGGAGCAAGGGCCGTGTTGGGTGGTGGCGGGCGCATGCGGGCGGTGCCACTGGGACCTTCGGTGGAGATCCCTATGGGACCACGGAACGCTGTACTGGGTGGGTGAAACGCAGTGAGCAAGGGCCGTGCTGGGTGGTGGCAGACGCATGCGGGCGGTGCCACTGGGACCTTCGGTGGAGCTCCCTATGGGGCCACGAAACGTTGTACTGGGTGGGTGAAACGCAGGGAGCAAGGGCTGTGCTGGGTGGCGGCGGACGCATGCGGGCGGTTCCACTTGGACCTTCGGTGGAGCTCGCTGCGGGGCCACGAAACGCTGTGCTGGGTGGGCGAAGCGCACGGAACAAGGGCCGTGTTGGGTGGTGGCGGACGCACGCGGGCGGTGCCACTGGGACCTTCGGTGGAACCCCCTTTTTATGGGGCCACGAAACGTTGTACTGGGTGGTTGAAACGCATGGAACAACGGTGCCCAGACAAAAAGTGTCCACACCCAGGGCGGCAAGACACTGCGACGTGATAGCAACCGCAACAGCATGATGCACTTGCCTCGCACCCCTCCCCCCGAAAACCCAAAGTTGAAGTGTCCACATTTTGTCCCTGGCGCGCCTAACCCCGCCAACTTTGAGTTGGGGGGAAGGGGGGTATACATATTCGTTCGGCGTGATTTGACGACGAGTTGTCTTGGCGCGAAAAATGTGGACACTTTTGGTCCGCCCACCGAAGGGGTTGGGTGGTGGCGGACGCATGCGGGCGGTGCCACTGGGACCTTCGGTGGAGTTCCCTGTGGGACCACGGAACGCTGTACTGGGTGGGTGAAACGCAGGGAGCAAGGGCCGTGTTGGGTGGTGGCGGACGCATGCGGGCGGTGCCACTGGACCTTCGGTGGAGCTCCCTATGGGGCCACGAAGCGCTGTACTGGGTGGGTGAAACGCAGGGAGCAAGGGCCGTGCTGGGTGGTGGCGGACGCATGCGGGCGGTGCCACTGGGACCTTCGGTGGAGCCCCCATATGTGGCCACGAAACGCTGTGCTGGGTGGGTGAAACGCATGGAAGAAGGAGGAGGGAGGGGAGGAGGGGAGGAGGAGAGGAGGAACGCGGGGACCGTCTCTTCAAAACGAGGACCCAACACCACAAAATGGTTGATAATAAAAAACAAAAAGCGGACCCGCGACGCGGCATGAAACAAAACAAGGACCACCCCGGAACAGCAGGAGGAATATCTGGGAAGAATATGTCGAGAGATCTGGGGAGTGTCCAAAGGAAGAATTGGCGCGGTTGCACAGCGATAAATCTGGAGGAATGGTTCGGGAATAGTTTCGGAAATATCAGATGGAAGAATATCTGGCGGAAGATCTGGCGGAAGATCACGCGAAAGATCTGACGGAACATCTAACGGAAAATCTGGCGGAAGATCCCGCAGAAAATCTGGACGATAAATGTGGCGGAAAATATGTCCGAAGATCTGGCGGAAGATCTTGAGGAAGATCCGGCGGAAGATCTGGCGGAAGATCTCGCAGAAGATTTTGAAAATCAATATGGAGGGAGATATAGCGGAAGATCTGGCGGAAGATCTCGCGGAGGATCCGAAGAAAATCTGGCGGAAGATCTGGCGGAAAATCTCGCGGAACATCTAGCGGAAAATCTGCCGGAAGATCCGGAGGAAGATCTGGCAGAAGATCTTGCGGAAGATCTGGCGGAAGATCTGGCGGAAGATCTGGAGGATGAAACTGGCGGGAAATCTGGCGGAACATCTGGCGGACGATGTGGAATATAACTCTGGAGGGAACTCTGGCGGAAGATCTGCCGGAAGATCTCGCGTAAGATCTAGCGGAAGATCTGGCGGAAGATGTCGCATAAGATCTGGCGAAAGATTTGGCGGAAAATCTGGAGGAAGATATGGTGGAACATCTGGCGAAAGATCCCGCGGAAAATCTAACGGAAAATCCCGCGGAAAATCTGGCGGAAGATCTTGAAGATCTGGCGGAAGATCTGGAGGAAGGTCAGGCGGAAAATCTGGAGGATAGATCTGGCGGAGAATATAGCGAA